CACACACACAGCTTATCTACTACAAATGACCACAGAAGCGCAATGAAAGGAGTCCACCGACATGTTAGTATCTGCGTTAATCTTTCTGCAGCTGTTGGGCTGCTTCCAGCCTATTCACGATTGTTTCATTAGAGGTATTGCTGAGTACTCCATTCATGTACAGAAGGGCACCTCGGGCGTATTCCTAATGCTCCAGAGCGCTTTATGTGTATCATAGATTTTTTGAGTGAGTTGCAGTTTTAGCGATTTGACCCTTTCTGCAGGCATGTTGTGCTTTTGACATACTGGATGTTAGAAGCTAGTCACTAATATATTTTTAAACGTCTTCAGATGGTATGCATTTAGTCGTATAAAGTCTACAAGCCTTTGAACCACGAATATGGACCCTGCAGTATGGATACGGAGCAACAATCGCTTATGTTTAAACTTATTGGTCGCCTACATCGACAGGTGGCAGAGGCAAAGCCACTATCTGCATGTCTCATCGCTCAGCCCAGATTCACCACAAACTTCAGCTGCCCTTTTTTGCTGTCATCTCTATAAATAAACAAATTATTTTACTTGAATTTAGCTATGCTTATAGCTTAGAGGCGAATATTCATTCGTTAAATATTGGTAAAGAGAAAATGCAAAATTACTATTTTTCGTGCAGAAATCAATCAATTCGGAGCAGAAGAGACTTTGTCTGCATTTACCATATAAAGCGAGTAATGTATTTACTGAGGATTACTTTTCACTCATTTTTCTGTTTTATTTTCTTTTGTAGCCTCAACAATATTGATATAATCACAAATTCGATAAAATACTGTGTTTGCTCGTATTGTCGTATTATCATAACATCATTTTCTGGTCTCAAATGAAGGAAATGTCACTTTCTCGTAAGAGTAAATAGCCGGAAGTCACTGTTGACATAAATCAATCAAACTATTTTCTCATGAATGGTTTGCTGTAAATACTTTGAGACACGTGTGTGCTGATGTCCAACTAGGCAATTATTCTTTTCTTTGACATAGTTTATGTGTAAGCATTTAAGGAACGTGTGTAAATATTTCTCTTATTTATTTTATTTAATTTTTATTTTTAATTAATTGTTCTTTTTCTACTTACTTATATTTTTATATTCTTGTTACTTTAATTTTCTATTTTATTTCTTTTATTTTTATTTTTTAATTTTATCGGTGCTTTTTTTTTAATATGAATTTTTCATATCATATTATTTTTTATTTCTTTTTAACTTTTACATATATTAATTTTTTTGTTTTCATAATACTTTATACTTTTTTTGATTTTAGTTTTATTTAATTATTTTTTCCTTTTATTGTTATTTTTTTATATATCTTTTTACTCTCAATCATTTTATTTTTTATTCCTTTTTAATTTTTGCATTTATTTTTATTTTTTTTTTGTCCTATTAATACCTTATATATTTTTTAATTTTTAATTTTTTTTTTTTGGAATTTTAATTTTTTTCACTTTTTTCCATTTATTATTATGCATTAAGATTATGATGAATTAAACATTTAGTAAATTGTATTGCTGGATTTTTTTCCCACAAAGAGAAAGCCTCAAAACGTCTAATATTCTTCTTCTTTTCAGCAATTTTTACCCATTCACCGAGCCATATCTAAAAGCTATTAAATTTCTGTAAATTATTAACTTTCTTATGTATGTATGTACAATGAAACATGTTAATGTGTGTGTGTGTGTGTGTGTGTGTGTGTATCTTGTATTTTTAAGTAATTGCCATTAATTAGCGATAACAAATCGACACACACTTATTTAATTGGACACCATTTTAATCACCACTTAAATGTGTCGGTGACCGCAAATAAAATATGTATATTTACACATATACATACATACATACATACATACATTAAGAGTGTGTATATTGAATGCACATTGTACTTGGAACCAGCAAGTGGGAGTAGCAAATTCACTACGTACGATTATATGTGCACAATCGATGGTTTCTAAAGAACAAAAAATTCTTAAAATCTTCTTATTATGTTCTGTGCGGAATTAAATTACAATTGGATATCAAGGAAATCATATATCGTCAAATTCTAATTATAAGGGAGTTTGCGATAAATTTTAATGAAGAAGCTTTTAAATCATTTGTATAGAATTTTTATGCATTAATTAATTACTTTTCACAATTTTTCAGCATAAAGCAATTTGTTTTTAATTAGATGTTTTAAGATTTTTTTCTGAGAAGTTGAAAGAAAAAAAATAAAAAAATAACACCAAAAATGTAATTTAGATTTCTACACTGACGGTGTTTTTTTTTAATTTTCATTTAAATAATAGATTTAAGTAATAAAGTTCCTATTTGTATAATACATATACTCGTACAAATGCATATGTTTAAAATGTTCTCTTATTTACATAAACTCTCTTATCAAAGCTTTAGTAAAAGCTCTAGCGGAACCTTTTCACCACTGTAGTAATAAAAGCGTCAAGCTTTTTTTTTAGTTCTAAATTATACAAACAGATGTCACTGTGTGCTTGTAGCCAAAAGCTTTTGATTTGAAAATTTAACATTTATTTTATAAAGCTTTGGTTTAAAGCTTTTTAATTAATTCATATTTATTACAATCGCCCAAAGTGTTTTTACCGGTTTTATTAGTTATATCAACTAACACTAATCACTTCCCATAATATTTAAACAGAAAATATTTAAAATTGTAAAAATAGGAGAATCTAATCATATTTTGAAATATTAAGTGTTTTAGGAAATAAATAATTTATTTTGCAGCTTTTTACTGCCTTACGAGCTATACTATTAGTTCGTTTACGAATAAGCTTTGCCTATTTAAATAACCAAAAGTTATACTGGCCCTTTTTTGAAAATTGAAGATAGTATGTGAAAAGCTGAAAGCCTTTAAAAGACAACTCCTTCGAATTTCGGACAAGCAAATTCTTAATCATTAAACTTTTTATGTTCGCTCGATCGTCACTTTAAAAGATCGAAGATCGAAAGCAGTTCCTAATAAGAGCTTATATAACTAAGTCTAGTTTAAAAGGGAGTTTTGGCTTTTGAGGTCTTACTTCTGTAGTGTCTTTGTTAAGTCTGTGGTGAGCATGTGGTATTCCGAATAAATAAAGGAAAAGACAGCTTTTGTCGTGAATGAAGAGTATGTTCTGCATTTTACGTACGCATCGCATAAGAGTGGAGCTCGAATTAAACCATTCGATAACGGGTATTTTTAGTTGGATTTCCTTGCAAAATAGAATATATAAAAATCTCTTTACCCCGCTTCATAAGTGTTAATATGTGGCAGTGGGCTTTGGACTAATTTATTCGAGAAAGCGAACTTGATGAGTAATTAAAAATTTAAATTCATTTCTGTGTCGAAAATTTGGTCTGTCTCTAATTCACGAGGAACACAGTCGCTGAAAGACATGTCGTCTATCAAAAATATTTAGAAAATAAAGCTTGATAATTCGGGTGGGGTTTTTGTTTGTAAACAAAATTTTATTGGAATCGCACTATTATGACGATCTTTAAGCATGCTTTTGGATCGTTTATTATGCAATGCCGTTTTTCCATTTTGCTTATTAGAAAATACTCGAAATATTCTTTTAAAATATGAACTTATTCAACATCAGTTAGGTCTTGAAAGATCGACTGTAGGTCTTACACAAAGATAATATAAGCTCGACCATTGATAGCTTCTTTTAGGGCCATTCAGCTGGATCACTGAAAAAATTCTGGTAACACTGCATGCCATATACTATATTTTTTTTTTAAGCGGTTTGACGTGTAAGCCAAACCTCGCTTTGACTTTGATCATTATAGTGATCTGAGCATTCAAACCTTTTCTATTTTTTATTTGGAACAGTAAGCGATTTTCGAAATTTTCATATATAGAATTCTAGGTATGACTTGACCTTTCTGTTTGTCTGCCAATTCCCTCACCAGATTGATTGAATAAAAGTGTAATGGTTAGAAGGTAGCTATTACATATAAAGTTTTAACAGAAAGCGTACTTAATTTAATGTTTTTAGTGCATTTCTTTTAATAGATCAATTTCACATATTGAAAATTTTCAACAGATGGCAACCCTTAACCTAATCTAATAGAAACTCACTTGTGAAAATACTTTTTTCTCTTAATTTTCTGCCTCTTTATAAAATAAATACAAACTGCCCAACAATCGCCTTTTAATGCTGAGCCAATTAAGTGACACAATTTTCAAATAACGCCTGCAATTCCACCGAAACACGCATAGGAGTACACTCCGCTTTAAATCGCAAATCGCCCGTAGGTGTCTAAAAGTGGTCAATGCGTTTAATTAAACAGGATAACCTATAAACAACATATAAAAAATGTAAAAACAATGGACACAACAACAACAAGCATTCTTAATTGCATGCGAAACTCACAGTTTGGTTGCTCTGCGCCGCCGCACGGCTGCGCCACAAAGACGGCTTTAATCAATGTGGCGTGGTGTTACTGAGCCACTGTGAGATATTTTGGCGGTTTTCTTGGTTGGCGTGCGTGCTGACATGCTGCCATTCAAGCGCTCAATCAGCAAACATATTTTGGCTTGCCTGCGACAAAAAGGCGATAAAACCGTTAAATGCGCAGAATTCAACGCCAAACGTGGCAGCGTTGCATATATATCTCCCCAACGATTTTCATATTTTTTCACATTTTGTGTGCTTGTACATCGTACTCGTATGTATGTATGTATCTAAGCATAAATTTTCATATTTGCCACAAAGTGCTGCAGCAACGACAATCCCAGAGCAACAATTCCAAGACTAACACCTGCATGCCGCCACCACCAGCATCGCTGATTGTGTTCGCTCGAAAAAGGTGTTCGGCACAAGCAAAAACCAACTGACAACTGTTTGCAAAGAAAAACCGAAACAAAAACAAAACATTTCAGTTTTAATAGCTTCATTGTCGTTTTAATTGTGTTTTACGCACAAATTTGTTTCTGAGCTTTTAATTCCATTTTTTGCCTCGCCAGCGAATGAGTTATGGTCAGATGCGACAAAAAGCAGCTGCCCGAAAGCGTTTAAATGCACGTTCGCCCAGCTTACATGCCACAACGAGAATGTCGTCAATTTGTTTTGCTTGCCACTTGCAGCCAAAATCTAATCAAGAGAAACATGGAAGCGAGACGCTAAACAACAATGTGAGTGAACGGACGGAGGGCGAGTAAAAAGGCCAAAGGCGAGGGGCAAAAAATGATGGAATTTTATAAGTGCAACAGTGACAAAAACAAAAAACGTTTTGCACTTCTGTGGTTTATTCAATTAGTGTGCAAGCAAATCATGGTGACCAAAAATCCGTTAACCACTAACAATGCTGGGGATAATCGTTTTAACCGTAGGGAAAGCAAAAATTTGCGAAAATGTTGTAGAAAGAAGAACAAAAAAATGTAGACATATATGATTGCGTATGATAAAATAAAATAGAAAATATAAAACAAAATAAATTTAAAGAAATAAAAGCAACCAAAACTAAAATAAAATTAACAAATTAACATTAAATTAAATATAATCAAATAAACAAAATAATATAAAATGCTATATAACAAACCAAAATTAAATCAAATGTATAGAAAAAAATAAACCAAAAAATAATTGAATATTAAATTAAATAATTTAAGTACTGCAAAGAACAATAAATAAGATAAGCTAAAAATAACTAAAATAAAATAATTTTAAAATTTATTTACTAAATTGAAAAAAAAAATTAAGTCAAATAAAATAAAACTAAATGAAATTAAATTAAATTAAATTAAATTAAATTAAATTAAATTAAATTAAATTAAATTAAATTAAATTAAATTAAAATAAAATAAATTACATAAAATAAAATAGAAAAATAAAATAAAATAAAATAAAATAATAAAAAATAAAATAAAATAAAATAAAATAAAATAAAATAAAATAAAATAAAATAAAATAAAATAAAATAAAATAAAATAAAATAAAATAAAATAAAATAAANCAACGACAACAACCCTCCGTTTCTCCGAGTTTTATTACCAGCTTTTTTTTTTTGCCCATCTTGCAGGCCCAGTACTACACAGCTTCGTTTCTGAGATCACTAGAGGTATCTTCCTTCGACTTTCACCTTTTAGGGAAAGAAACAAGCTTCGTCTTCTGTATTACAGTGGCTAGGTCAGCGTTATTAATCCATTTTTCTAACCGCCTTCTATGGTGTCACATTAAATTTGAGAAAATTTATTTTTAAATAATATTTTATTGAATTTTTTTTCTTTTCTTGAATTTTTGTTTTATTTTTATTTAAATTTTTTTAATTAAAATAAAATAAATTTCAAAAATTTGTAAAATGCTTTATTTATTAATTTATTAATTATTTTTTATTATATTATATTTTTAATAAAATAACATCGATTATTGCTTGTCTACAGCAATAAATATTAAACAAACAGTCAAATGTTTGTAAGCCGCATGCACAAACAACTCGCTATTAACGCGTCCTCAACCACGAAATGAATTAATAAATCTGATCAAGCATTGATCAACAAGCCGTGTAATTGGATTTTCACGTAATCGTTTAAACAGTTAAATAAATAAATAAATATTTTCCACATACACACACATTCGCACTCGCATGCACTACTTGAGGCCACACCACCTCACCACCTACGTCACCGTACACTAAATACGCAATCAAATAAATAAGCAAACTTCTCTACAAAGAATTTGTTGTGATTGCAGTTATTCACCGCTTACCAACAAACACAAAAACAACACGCATTCAAAGCAATGAGCAAATAGACTTCATGAACTCCATTTAAATACTCATGTACGTCTATTAACCGCAGCAGCAGCAGCAATACCAACGGCAGTCAAGCATAGAAAGCTTAGAATAACGGTACACCGTACTAAATACATGGTGTTGAAATGCCGAGGCAATTGGTGCACGTGCCACGCGCCAGATACACGCACACGCACACGCACACCCACCGCCTTCAGCATCAGAGATTTTTGTTTGTTTGTACGCTTCCGGTCATTGAGTTTCCTTCCGCATTTGCCTCGGTGCAAAGAAGCAAGAACCGCAAGTCATATACACACACTTCTATGTAAAAACAAAACAAAACAACACACAGTTGCCTTAGCACCCACACGGACGAGAACCCACACACACACACACACATACACACGCACACTTGTGCACAGCTTGCGGCAGGCAGCCAGCGACGGATGCGTACGACAGAATGCTTAGCAAATTGAAATAATAAGCCAAGGCGGCGATAAGATTAATGATTATGGGCTTACTCGCTTGAATGCTGCCTGCCCCCACCGTTCAATAACGACCCCAGTCACCCGTTGCACGTTACACGCTCGCTCCATCCCGCTCGCTACGGCATGGTCCACAACTTTGATGCTGTGAAAGTCTGTTTTTGATGGGAATTAATTATAAAGCATACAATTTAAGTGCAGAGCAAATATTCAATACATGTTGGGCGAGTTTTTATGGCTCTTATATTCATACTTACATACCAATATATACATACACGTATATACTAGTACATTTATTATATACATTCCTTTTTTGCTATCGTGGCCAGTTCGGAGCAATTTATACTTGGCAACTTTTCGCCAGTTTTCTTCCATTATTTTGTTATATTTAACATTTTTTATTGTGCACACACTTCCAAACATACACACTTTTGAAACTTCCAGCGTTGCTGGGAGCAGCATGGTTTTAATTTTTAATGAGTTTTCATGATTTTCTTGTTTTATTTACTTTACAATTATTACAAACAGGTATTAAAATGGAAAATTTTGCCTTGAGGACATTGGAAAAAGGAGATTTTTTTAGTCACTCACAAAAACTATTGGGAAAAAATTGTTAAAAAAGTCAATCTTAAATGATTTCTTATATATATATATATATATCATATAACTTTCGCTTTGTAACCGCTTTAGCGATTTTCCGCCGAGCTCCTCCTCCAATTTGTGGTTTTGCGTCTTGATGTTTTTCCAAGAAATGGAGGGACCTAAAGCTTATACTAAGCCGCCTCCGAACGGCTGATCGTTTTTTATGAGAAGCTTTGGATTTTCATATCCGACATACACTCGGAGGAGTGGGCATTCCCTGCCGAGTGGCGACCGCAATGACCGCAAGTCACCATCCGCTCCAAAAATGTATCGATTTTGTTCCGATTCAGCAGCGATTCGTAGATAGAAATTCGGTCCAAAAGGCTTTCTCTCGTTAACTCAAACATCGAGCTCGCTGGTGTATGCAGTCTTTTCGAAGTGGTTCCAAAAGCTTTTCGTGCAAAATTTAACTTAATTTTTTATTTAAATTAATTTTCATAACTTTTGGATGTTGGTGGCACTGAGCCTTCCGAATGTCAATACACAATGCTAACCACCCGACTACCGTGGCCGCCACCTTTGAAAATAAACTCGTAAATACTAAAATGCTATATTTAAAGGAAAACACCAGCCAACGAGTTCTTTGTGGACAGTAAACGTCGTGTGTTGCATCTGTTAATTTGCTCAAGCCTTTAAAGGTTGCCACCCCTTAAGACGGGCTTTGCAAAGGGAGTTCCTTAAGGCTTCAAGTTCTTCCTCCCTTCTCGAACTCTTACAGAAGTCGCTTAAGGGAAAAGCACAGTCTTTCTGTAGCAAACATCTGCGATGAATAATTATCTTATAGAGGGTCCACAAGTAGAAAGTGCCATGTCTAGACTTTTTCAGTATGCCAAAAGTGAATGGAAAAGACCTTTGCATGCAAGCTCAGCCGTCATCACGTTACCCAAAATAAGGTTGGATGAAAGCATACCGCTTGGAACTTAGCTGGTCTTAGCCCAATCCACAGAAAGAGCGATCCCACAGTCTGCGCCAATTACCATGGGAAAGGCTTCCTTAATATAGTATATGAAGCGCGAGGGTATTGTATGAAAGACTAAAACCCACCATCAACAAACTGATTGGACCTTAACAGTGCTGCTTTACAGCTGGTAAATCCACAATTGAGTAGAGATTCACCATGCGCTGATCTTCGAAAAAAGCGTGAAAATAGGATCGACGCACACCATCCCTTCGACGATCAGCTGGGTGCAGAGCATTCATAGAAAAAAAGGAAACTCTGAGATACTACATTTACGAGTGCACGGGTTTCAGTCGATTGAAATGACATACATCCATCTGATAGCCCCTTGCTTCAAGCTTACCGGTAGAGGAAAGTAAAATATCACACGAAGTTTTTGCAATTTGTCTCTAACTCACTTGAGAGCAACCAGACCCTCAATTTTGTTGGCTTAGAATTCTCGGCTGGCAAAAATTACAGTTGTTTATGGTCCTCCATTATTTTAATCAGAAAAATATTACGTCTGTCGTCGATTGAATTGTTATAGAGGAACCAGTAATATTTCCTTTGTTTCGTCAGTAGGAAAGTTTGGGTAACTAGTAAGATTTTCGGCCGAGCTCCTCCTCCACTTTGTGCTGTGCGTCTTGAAGTTTTCCAGAATATGGAGATTCCTCGAAGGGCCTGACATTTCCTGCTGAGAGGCAATCACAATAAGAAAATTTAATTTCCTATAATTTGGAAGTTGGTTGAACCAGGATTCGAGTTCTTGCATTCAGAATGGTGTGAGCTTAAATTCATTCATTAGAAAATTTATCGTGATGCCTGCCATCTTATACAAATTATCGACGAAAGAAGTTTCTAAGTATCGGATCCTGGGACACTATCCAAAGCGAAACAACGTCCGACATGTTTAACGTGAGTACCTGCCGATGTTGGCCCAACCTCACGGTGTTTAAAAACACAACGGATCAACAGTGTTGATCAGCACCCCATATTCAGAGTATTACAAAAGGTAATACTAGCATTGTGGTACCAATCGGAAAACCACCTTTGGCATGGCTCGAGGCCCATCTAAAACTGCGGGCGTACTATGGGTCCGACACCCGGTACCAATGCTACTCCACACCGAGTTGACACAAGGCCAACTCTTTCCGCATTTGGGCTTAAACCTCTGCCTCTACGATACTCCACGAAGGATCTTGCCGCAATGAACAGGTTGGAGCAAGTTCCGAGTGCTCCTGCTCTCCGTGATACTAGGTTTAAAGTGTCCGGTCACAACTTGTAACCGGAGCTACTACTTCCAATTAGACTTCCATACCGCTCTGAATTGGTAGCCAGAATATAAGTCGCCTTTTACGACAGGCATGCCTTGTCGCGGGTGCATTCTCTTCTCACACACGCACGGGCACCAAAGTGGGGCAGTCACTTTGCGCTTCACAGCTTCTACAGCATCTCTAGAAGTGAACACCCAGCGTTGTCGCATGTCGCCATATCAAGCAGTGACCTGTTAAGAGTCCTCCAACCTTATAGATGTTTTTTCTTGTGAAGGAGTATATTTCGTGTGACCTTTTCCGTTCCCACTGCACCCGAAATCGTCTAGAAATTCTCCAAGTAGCTGTGTGGTTCCATCTTAATTCGGCCTACTTATAAGTAAAGTGCCTAAGTAACAGTTTGTATGTAACAAAAAGCATACCAATGCCTTCTTTGGAGCAACTAAATGCTGCCTAATCACTACAATGTCTGCAAGTGAAAGCGCTGCAATCCTTTTCTCAAATTCATGCTAAAGTTTTCAACTCCGATTAAAAGAAAATTTAGTGCTGAGCAACTCTAAACTAACAAATGCTTCCTAGTCCAGCAACATTTTCGACTCTTCCGCTGTCCAACGAACTCTGCGCGTCTGGCGTCACTCAATCTTCCTACAAAAAAAAAAGCATCACGGACATTTAACACAAACCCTGACTCGTCACAAGTGTATCCGTGTTTGTACCGATGTGGATGGGTGGTTGGTGGTATGGTAGTGGAAGACGAGTGCCGACACGGCCTGTTTACCGTTAGCAATAATTCAAAAACAGTTCGCCGGCAATATGGTTACCGCCTTTTCTCTCGTCGCTTGTCACATGCAGGCGTTTAAGGTTGTATACGAAATACTATAACGGTACAACAAGAGCAGAAGTAAATGTACATACAAGTGTATGCGTTGCTATGAGAAAAGTGTGTGCCTACAAGAATAACAACAACAACAACAACAGCATCTATAATATTAGGCAAAACAACAAAATCAAATCGCACACGAAACTCATGCATTAAGTACACAATTTAACGCCGCCCCACAGAGCCAGCGCTTGGTAGGCAGCAGTAGCAACAACAACAAACAGGCAAAGTTTGCCGAAAAAGTTTAGCTAGTTGAATGTCGCCGCGTGCAACACTTGAGCTTGTGGCAGTCGCCACTCATTGACGCTGTCTCCATTTCTCTTTCTCTCTCTCTCTCTTTTTGTCTATATAAATCTCCGTCCCCTCACTGAAATCCAGAATAGGCATTCAAAATTACTGTTGGAAACTTATGTTACTACCGTTGCTGTTGTTGTTGTTGTTGTTGTTGTTGTTGTTGTTGTTGTTGTGTATGAAGCAACTAGCCTTCGTTGTCGCTGTAATGTCTCTTTAAATTCTTGTCCGGTTCATAGAAATTTCTTTATTTGCATTTTTCATATTCGTATGTGTGTATGTCGGTATTGCATGTCGTATGTCTGTTTCCGGCAGACGGCCATAAAATCTTTTCACAAAGATGATGACGCTTTGAGCCCGGTGTGAGTTTAGATGAAAACTTTCAAAATACTTTACTGGTTGCTCTTTGCCGGTGCTACATTTCCAACAGACCATTCGCCGGAATTGTACTCATGTTGAGCCGAGCCGAACTAGTCCAATCTTCTAATACTCAGACTCACATAAGGAGTATTCATTTTGGCTGGAACTTCCCCATTTAGTTGTGATTTCATCTTGAAATAAGAGAGCTGTAATTCTTCACCACCTCCGAGACAGGCGGAGGCGTTGGCGATTGCCAGCCGTTCTTATGTTCTTTCTAGTCAGAGCTCGCTATCATTATCCTCCGCTTACTATCATGTACTGGTTACTTCAACAGAGGAGGGGATTCAATCGCTTAGTTGAAGACTAGATGCGAGCCATTAAGCAGGATCATTGATAAAACACAGTGAGTTGAGACCAGCAGCGAGCGGGAATTCTACAGTACCCTTACTTTATAAAGAACGTACTCTGAAAATCATTTTTATCCCTAACTCGACGAAATTTATTTCTGTTGATCTCATCGACATAGCTCTGTGAGTCCATTGTCTCTGTCGCTCTATCTTTATTTGAGGCTTAGGAAGCTCAATAGCCACATCGTACAGACCGTGCAGATCAGACCACCAGGAACCAGTGAAAATAACATCATCTCTGCGACCTCCCAAACCACAGACCGAGATGTATAGCAGAGAAGGTCTCTTCTTTAGTTTAAATAATTTATGAAGAATATTATTATCTGCTATCCGTCTGGCCACCGAACCACTATATAAGATAAGAAAGTAGTTTAAAGAATCTATACAAGACATTTGTAGCAGTGACGCTGGTAGGAAGCTTAGGGATGCTGGTATGAGTGAGTCGTTGGAACACTTCCTCTGTTTCTGGTTGGTCCTATCTGGAACTCGTTTTAGACATTTAGGAGATTCGTTCTTCAGAGGGCTCAAAGAAGTTTTAAAGAGAGTCGACGTCCTGGAACTACATATTACTACAATTGGACGTATGAACTCTTCAGCTTAAGTTTAATACTAAAAAATACATATATGTTCTATATGAAATTTATTAATTCAATAAATTTTATAGCAAATAATTTCTCAATCCATAAATTTCCCTATTTCCTTTATATTTCCAGGTAAAAATTTGGTTTCAAAATCGACGCATGAAATGGCGCAACTCCAAGGAACGTGAACTGCTCGCCAGCGGCGGTTCACGAGATCAGACGTTGCCAAACAAAAACAATCCCAACCCCGACTTGTCCGATGCGAAATGTGATCGACCCATATCACCGCTATCGCCAGCGCCATCCTCACCGCCTGCACACAGCCTCTCGCCACAACCCAAAGAGGAGTGCAACAATGCCGAAACACCAAAGCACAACGGTGGTTCAACCACACCCAAGTCCATGCAATCGCCAGCGTCCACGCCCGCTTTAACCACCGCTGCACTGCAATCGCCACCGTTAATGCATCACATACCCAGTAGTGTAGCAGTGGCCGCCGCTGCTGCTGCTGTAGCCTTTAGCTCGGCGTCGAGTATGCAAATGAGCTCACCACCACCACTGCTGACCGGGGCCAACAAGCTGAATGCCAATTTAAATGATCAATCATCGAACGCCTCCTCGTCAACAGCCTCTTCGCCGCCACATATGAGCAGCGGTGGCATGGTGCTTGGTGCCGGCGGCGGCAGTGGTGGTGGTGGTGTTTCAAATGTAGGAATGCCTCCGCTATCGAGCGCCGAGTTTCAGGCAAAAATCAATGCAGAAATGCAAAAACATTTAGCCGCCGCTGATCTCAAATTCAAACTGGAATCAACCATCAATGAGGCGAAGCAGCGACGCATCAACATGCTGAATTTGGCAGGCGCTGTTGCCGGAGGCGCTGGTGGTGGTGGTGTTGGTGGTGGTGGTGAGCAACATGCATTGCAGCTGCACTCGACACATCCCGGCAGCATTTTCATGAGTGAGGCATTGAGTCCGCATTTGCAGGCCACGCACAATCATCACCACCAGCAACATTCGAATGCCGGCAATGGCATGCACTTGCCATCGTCACCCATGAATCCGCACTCAATGCCACCCTTCCAAAACCCAGAGTTCATGAAGATGTACTACGATGACTACGACGACTCCAATTCGGATAGTGATGAGGAGATTAGTGTAACGTGACCGCATTAACTGGCGCAAATGGTGATAAATAAAATTAAATATTTCTATATTTGCTTGTAAATAAATAAATTTATTAAAATTAGGTTTTCGAAAATTGTAAAAAAAATATTTATGTTTGTGTAATTATGATATTGTATGACTCGAGAAAAATATTTAAAGGAAAAATTGAAAGTTAATTTACATTACACAGTGTGAGTTTAGAAGTCTAAAATAATTATATTTAAGTATACTTTCGAATTTAAATTTCAAATAAACCTAAAGTTAAATAGAGATCAAATAAAATACAAAATTTATTCGAAATTGTTGTGCGGATAAGTAAAAGTAAGTAATTATATCTGAAACATAAATTCAACATAAACATTTTAATTAAAATATGTAATAAAGCAAATCATGAAGAGCAAGCGGCTCATTTCGCCTAAAAGTATGCAAACATTTACGATGTTTAAGTGTCGCTGAAACCATCACCCAGCAGTCAAATAAAGAAGTAAAATGAATGGCATATACTCGTAGAAGAGAGACTAGTTTGCAACAAAAAAACTTACGCTTTATAGTTTTTTGACAATAAATCGTGTATAATGATTTAGAATATTTTATTAATACTGAGGTGCCTGAAAATAATTTCATAGTTTAAATTAGTACATATCATTGGCAAATTTGATTCCTCTTATTATTTTGAACTTAAAATAAATTTAGTTTTAGAGAGTTGATAATTTATATATAAAAAGATCATAAACTATCAACGGCGCAGCTGTAGGGACCATTCAGTCTTGACATCCGCGCGACACAAGTTTCCTGGGAAACACATCTTCTACTATATTGCTGAGTTGGCATAAGCGAACATTGGAAATCTCGTAGGCTTTATAAGCCCCACAATATCGTTTGATCATATGTGAAAGTCAAGGCAGGAGTCTCAGCGGTATCACAATGGGCATATTGATATTGATCAGCAGCCGCATCAACTCATATAGCTGAATTAACAACATGGCACTACTCAATTCTGCTTTTCACTGTTTGGCGCCAATTGGAAACACCGAGTACGGTCAAGTCCTTCTCTACCTCCTTCTTTGCTTCCATCCATGATTTAGCCAGCGCTGCCGCTGTTCTCGTACAGCTCATCGTTCTATTGGCTATGGCAGTCGAGGTTCCCGACTTCCAGAGGACCATACATTTTATGCAAAACCTTTCTAACTCCTAAGGTCGACTCACCAGATGTCGGGAATATTGTGCGACTTGTTGAGTTTAGACTTTGTTCGTCGGGAGAGAACTTTACTTTTCAATTGCCTACTCAGTCCAGTCCAAAGGGTGATTCTGCGCTGGGTTTCAAGACTGACATTGATATTGGTGTTAATGCTGGTTCCAAGATAAACGAATTTATCTATGACTTAAAAGCTCTTGGCTTGCGGTCTTACAAAATCCCACTCGTTTAAGAAATGAAGACGTACGATGGACCCAAAACGATGTGGCCACCGATCTCGTATTTCATAAGAAAATTTTGATCAGCAATGGAGCTCAATTTCGGTTGAATGGCTACATTTATTAACAGAACTGTCGCATTTGGAGTGACGATAATCTACATGCCATTGTTGAGACGCCGTTAAGTCCTGAAAAAGTTAAAGTTTGGTGTGCTCTATGAGATAATCATTGGTTTCTTCAAAAATGAAGCTGGCCATTATGTTGCAGTCAAAAGGGAACGTTGTGGAGCTATTATTAATGACATTTTCTTGCCTAAATTGATGGATGATGTTGTGGAGGACTTTTGGTTTCAACAAGACGGCGTTACAACAAAAGAAACAATGTATATAAGGAAACTTTTGGGAAGCGTATTATCTTGTGTCGTGGGCCTACGGCGTATCCTCTGCCATCGGTATACATGTGGATATTTTTTTCGTCTAGAAATACCTGCCAAAGTTTAGAAGCTCTTAAAGCTGTTTTTAAGACATCATACCATGCTATTATGTCTGTAGGTCCTGACTAAAAGATTTTAATTCATAAAAAAACACTTGCATTGGCTAACATAACGAGAGTAGGATAAAGCGCTGTTAATGAGTTCAGCTAGACGCGTAAGCGGTACCAACGCCAGTAGAGAAGAAGAAGAAGAAGGCTCTGCGGTTTAGCGGCTCAAGAATTTACACGTAGTAAGGCATACCTGTCAACTAAAGCAACTAAAATCTCTTAGCTCCTGCGACAATCGAGTCTTTATACCTAAACGACTCGGATTTCTATCCGGCCATGGACTGTCGCACCAACAATATTCACCGAATATTTATATGACGGTTACAAGTACAACAAGCCAAGATGCTGCTGCGAAATTCGCCAACTCAAATTGTTGCGCGTGATGGCGGATGGCGGATGGCACCATTTTGAGTCTTCTTTGATACTCTGCGCCACAGCAGCAATAGCGTTTTCGGTGCGCAGTGTATGCCATTCCACGGAGGCGCAGGGTTGTCGACTGAATATTGGACGGACATTGGAAAACCACAAATGTAAAAAACACCCTTTATTTTAGTTTTTTTTCTTATCAATTTATTTGTTTAAATGCAAACTATAATTTTGCCCACTGTTTGCCATCTCTACGGATGCGCAGGATTGTCGACTGAATATTGGGCGGACGTTGGAAAACCTCACATGTAAAAAAACACCCTTTATTTTAGTTTTTTTCTTTTCAATTTATTTGTTTAAATGCCAACTATAATTTTAAACATTTCTATTTCAAAAACAATATATCTATGCATATGTTTGTTTGTATGCACATGCACGTATATTTATGTATGTATACATATATGTAAGTGTTTGTAAAAAAAACAGCAATTCCCGCAACACAATCGTTATCAGTGATTATAATTAATGTCATTAGATATTTAATGCATAATATTTTACAATATTTGAGTTGAGCGTAAACAAATACTTAACAGGATCAGTGATTACATTGAAAAATACACACATGAGTTGACTGAATTAATTGAAATAATTTGCATTACTGCAATGCGTGTGTGAGAGTGTTTGTTGTGACAGATTTTATAGAATTGTCGATTGTGACTATAAATAGAAAATAATTTTTTTTTTTATTTACAAAATTTGTTTTTGACTCTTGTGATGGGTTGCAGATATATAATATAATATTACTTTACAAAAAAAAAAAATTATTTTATTATCATAAAATTATTATATTATATAATACATAATTACTGTATTTTTCAATATTTTGTACTTTTTACCAATTCCTTCTTTGCTTGATTTAACTACTTTTATCACGTTTTCTCTTAACTCTTAACTCCTTTTGTCTTTGGACTAATATAATGACTATGCTATAGTAATACATATATATATTTATATAAAATTTTTAATTTATATATATGTACATACATGGACTTATATGCTAAATTAATGACTGGTTCAGTAGTTATAGTTATAGTTTATATTATAAAAAAATATATATACATATGTATGTATATTATATACATATTAATATCATTAATTAATTAATAACAAGTACTTAGTTGCAACAAATAAAGTCTGATGTAAATAATTTATACATATTGCAGCGTTTACACCTGCCTATGAGGTGCACTGCTCAAGTTTTTTGGTTTCTCCAATTGAAACCCTCACATTCAAGCCTCTTTCACCACTTTTTCCCACTACGCTCTTCAACGAATTCATTCGTCATCCAATCGAATAGCATGATTAACATGTCCCAGCGGCTTTTCCGTCAGTGGCGGCTCCGTAGAAGCGATCACTTTGATCTCCGTATTGAATTGTGGTTGCAACTCCGATTTATTGTAATCATTCTCCTCACGCGCCGCGCTTATCTTGAGCACATTATGACGTTGAACCGCTGAGACGATAATCGAAATTACGAAACCCAAAAATATCGTTAGCAAACAGCCGATCATCGAGTACCACATATAGCTGAGCTTGAAGATTGGCCAGGAACTAAGGGATGTTAAGCTAAAAAAATTGTTAATAAAATAAGCACAACAACAAAATATGTATTTGCACTACCTAAAACCCGTCTCCACCATCATCAGTGTATCGCCCATTGTCGGCAATAGCGCAGATGTCTCATTGACTTTACAATCACAATGCGCCACCGATAAGGGCAGCTCCACCGGTTCGACATTGACAATCTGTGCCATAACACCAATAAAAATGACTATGACCAATGACAGCAAGCCACCGTAGAATGCGCCCTTCGTATTTGCACGCTTAAAAGCGATACCCAACACGAAGAGACCCAACGTTACGCCACCAATTAGGCCATTCAGCGTGAGTGTAGCCTGCAGTACGCCACCCAATTTCTCCACGATGAAAACCAAACCGAATGAGAATATACCATAACCCAAGGACATCCATTTGGCGTAGAGCGCACCCTTATCTGGTGTAATTTTGATATTCATGCCATTCACAAGTAAATCTTCACAGGTCACAGCCGAGAGTGAATTCAATGCCGAAGCTACTGTGCCCAAACTGGCAGCAAATATACCCGCAACAAAAATACCAGCAATCGTGTAGATGTGTTCGTAGGTGCTTATGATGTAGAAGGGTAACAGCTGATCGGAGGCGGTTATGCGTCCAGCTGTGAGTGGATCACAGTCGGCGTAGTGATTGAAAATCATTAGACCCGTGTAGAAATTCATGAGAAACACAATCACCAAGCCGAGTATCGCGAAACCCAATGCAACTTTGGCCAATTTTAGGGATTTCAATGACATACACTTCTGCACCGATGCTTGGTTGGCGCAAAACAAAGAGGTCCAATAGAAGAAGCCACCAATTACTACAGACCAAACGGTGTGACGTGTGGTGGGATCGACATCAAAGCTGTTGGAAATTTATGAAATTAAATTAAAAATCATATTGAGGTGACGCAAGCTACTCACTTGAAGAACTCCAAACGATGATGATCTGCTGCCGTATTGAAGATCTCTATAGCATTACCGCTATAATAGCTACCCAAAGCAACGACTAGCACCAAAGACACAGCTAAAACTGCGGCCTAAAGGAATATATGAAGAATTGGAGTTTTGAACATCACCTTCAAGTTTGGAGATCTTACCTGAAATGTATCAGCGATGACGACCGCCTTCATGCCGCCCTGAGATGAATAGAATACGCAAACTAAATAAATTAATATCACAGCAACTTTTGTGTTTAAGCCAGTGGCCTTGGAGAGCGCAATCGCCGGCGCGAGCACAGCTACAGCGGTGTAGAAACACATCTGTGGGGAATAGAAAGACAACTTTAGTTCGTAGATAGAAAAGGTATGCAGTAAACAGGATTGAGAAGCACAACCCGGTGCTGAGTTCAAAGTTACAGCTGTTTCAGAGCCCCCAACGGTTCTCTTGAGCACAGTTTTTTGAGCAACCAATTCTTAGCCCATAAAGAGTTAACTCTGCAAATGTCTGACACCCAGTAAAATGCTCCCAAGTCCTCCCTTCTATCTATCCTGATCCTTTGCTACCGCGGCAAAGGTCTACTTGACTAATTCATTAGTCTTGCGCTTAGTAGGGTTTTGCTCCTCCACCGACCTTCGTTGATTACAAATATTTTCGTTTATTTCAACCACACAAGATTTTGCAAATAAAGTTGAGAGAAAGACTTTCCCCGATGAATTTGCTTACAGCCTCTAGCAAAGTAGTATTCGCGGACGAAGCTTCACGGCCTTAATTATTTTCAGGTAATTCGAATCCATTCAAAGAATTATGCTTAATTTGGCCAGAAATCCAATAACATTTCGGATCGCTTCTTTCCGAAAACCTCGAGCAAAAACTAAGTCTACAAGTGTTTCCGAAACAAACCGGTACTACGAGGTTCACTCTTTGTGAAATATTGAAGTAAAAAGTTCGTTCGGTTTTTTATTGATCTTTCAAAATATGACAACTTCGTGTACATTTGTCCGATTTAAGTTTTGTTCGTAAACTTGTTCCCAACGAGATGGCAACCTCATTATACCCCTCTCGTAGAAGGCTGCGTCCCTATTGGCAAAAAAACTCGGAGAGCCAGTTTTCACAGGCCTCTTTTGAGGCGAACTTCTCACCATTAAGCGCGTTCGCCATGGACAGGAAAAGATAGAAATCACTTGGTACCAGTTCCGGCAGCTTCTAGCGCGTCACCAAAGACATGTGTGGCCTGGCGTTATCCTCTGTGGGACACAATTCGGCCTCTATTAATCAAAGATTGTCTCTTCTGGATGAGTGCTGCCTTCAAGCGGTCCATTTGTTGACAACAGAGGGTCAAATTGAGCGTTCGGCCATAGGGGAGCTGCTCGTAGTAGATGATTCCTTGCCAATCCCACCGAACACATAGCAAAACCTTCCTGGCTGTCAATCCGGTCTTGGCCACCATCTGCGCCACTGTCCCGAGCTTTGACCACGACCGTTTGCGCTCGATGTTGTTTTAAGTGAATCATTGCTATGCTACGAGGATGTGAAAACCTAAACCCATTCCAAAACACACGGGGTAATATTACCGAGATAAGCGTACCATTCGACAAGTGCTACCTGCTCCTCCGCAAACAGCGACTAGCTGTCGCTTCCGCTAAGAGCTATTACCATCAATTGTATCAGACCACCCAGCGTCTTCAAATATTTTAAAGGACCACTTAAAATTTGTAACATTTCCGACGTGGAAGCACAGTGAGTCTACTCCATAAATTAATTGTAGCCGCCCGCGCTCAGAACCTCAACTTCCCCCTTCAACTAAAATGAGCTCAACAATGCCTCTCCAACCGAACTTTATTTTTGTATTTTCTACCCCATTAGCGGGTATCGGATGTCAGAGCTTCAAATTCCCTTTCCAAATCTTACCTGTATGACGTACAGTACGGCACCCAATATACGGATCTCCTTGCCAAAGCGTATACCAAGATATTCATAACAACTTGTCAATTCCATTTTAAAGTAGATGGGATAGAAGATCTTTACAGCCACCGGTATGACCATGATCATTGGAATAACTGCAAGAAGAAAAGACAAAATATATATATTTACCGCCAAGCTTCCAACAAAGTTCGCCCAACACTCACCAATCAACACAAATTGCGTACCCTGCAGATACATCTCCGATGGATTGCCCAACAACTCGATTGCTGTTATAAAGCTGGTAGTCAAGCTTAGTGTTACGGGAAAGATGGACATGCCCGAACCGAGTAGAAAATCCTCCGACGAACTGCCCGATTTGTGGAAGAAACCATAGAAAACGCCAATACCCAGCGAGATAATCAACATGGAGAGCAATATGGCATAATCGTAAGCGGAGAACGCGGCTTTATGCGAGGGATTACTGCATTCCTCTTGCTCGCCCGCCACAAGCTGCCCATCCATTTGTTCGCGATACATTTGCAACAACATTTGTGCTGCCACATCAAAGCTATGTTTTTCTGCTGAATTCACTGTGGCATCTAAAATAGTGAGCTCGGGATCTGTTGGCGCAAATGCTGTGTTGTCGCTGCGTACCAACAAATATGGTGGTGGTGGTGGTGTTTGTTTGAACGTACGCTGATCAGCGATTGCGGGACTGATTGTCGGCGGCTGTTGATACCTCTGACCACTGTTGTCTGGCAGCGCTACACTGTTAGATGTATGTGCCAAGGCGCACAGGTAGAGGAGTTTCAGCAATGTAGCCATTGGTGGAGACATTTCTGGAGTTTTTTTTTTTGTTTTTTTTTTTTTAAATTCAGGAACTATTTTACGTATAAAATTTGTTTACTTTTTTAATTTAATTTAAATATAAATTATATGTATGTATGTAGCACAGGTTTTGTACCGCAGCTAATTTGAGAGAATTTTTGCTTTCAATTAATTTCACTTCTGTCGACGGGGGGCGAGTTATTTACATCTCCGCAAAGCAATGAGTTAATGAATTTACAATTAGTTAACAACCTGTAATTAAAAATTATTGGAGAAAATCAATAAAATGGCATTGCATTGGCGCAAGAAGTGTGGGCAATATTTATGTGTATGTATGTATATATGTATGTATGTATGTAGGTTTTGTGACGGCAATTTTTCAATTAAAAACCAGTCTATATTTGGCTCTGAGAAGAGTCAAGTTCAATAAGAAAATTTCACTTAAATATTTGTAAATATATATATATATATATATATATATATATATATATATATAAATACATATAAATACATATATGTTTCATTCGCCTTTTTTAATTTCTGTTAACACAATCTTGGGTTTCAATAAGCTACGTCCAAGTTTAATCAATAAATTTATTACAAACAGACATAAATTCGAAAAATACCTTAATATATGTATATATGTATGTAAATGCGGACCTAGTGTGAAATTTCAAAAAAATCGATCTTATATACTTCGGTAGATTACACCTTTAAAAATAACATATTAAAATTTTTAATCGATATCTCAAATAGTTTTTGAATTATAACAATTTAAAGAGCAGCCGCTCGGCAGCTAGAGAGTCTCATTAGCTACGAATGAACACGATCATTTTATCTTTAAGCGCGTTTTTCTCGAAACAGCATTTTCCGAATTCGTGGCAGTGATTACTCAAAAACAAATGATCCGATCACTATCGATTTTTTTTTAAATGTTCTATATATAGTTCTCCGTACAATGACCTATCGATTTATGATCTGATCACAAAACGACCAAAATTTTGGGTAAAATTCGAATATTTTTTTTTAAACGCCGCCATACTGTCAATTTTTGATTTTTTTATCGTACCTCATTATACAGACAATATTATCTAGCAAATAAACTTTTTTTAGATTTCATCCACGGAGAAGGCCGGAATCACTGCAGCAGTGAAGGACCTTTTTTCGCGCCGTTGGAGATCGACTATAACTTAAAAAAATATTTAATTTTTTTTCTACAAAAATTTCACTGTATATTCTTGAAACATCTATAAATATATTCTTAAAATTATGAAATAATTGATAAAGTACTTTTTTTTAATGAAAATTCCCTAAAATCACCTTTTAACCCCTTAAACCAATTACAGATGCAGATGGCAAAGAAACCCTTCTCATATGACAAAAATCGCCAGATCCGGCCCGTTTAACAGCCTTTTTTTAATTATTTAAAATCTTAATAATTAGAGAGTTGCAGATTGAGTCCGCTAGTGATAATGGACAACAGGTAAAACTTTGATCTTCAAAATACTGACAGATATATCCCTTCTTCGAAGACGTATTCCGCCTTCTAGACAAGATACGATGATTCCAATGATATTGCAGTTTCGGCAGAAATTCTTTCTTCTGAATTTTGTGACTTACTGTGAGCAAATGGAAGGACGTACACTTTATATTAAGCCTCCTCCGAACGGCTGATGGTTTATTTTATGACGAGCTTTTATTTCATGTCAGAAATACACTCGGAGGGGTTAGCATTCCCTTCCCAGGGGCGACCGCAATTAGAAAATTTAGCTAATTTTTTTTTTAAATAATTTTCTATAAATTTTTGAATGTTAGTACGACACCAGGATTTGAGACCGAGCATTCCAAATGGCAATAGAGAGCTAAGCTCGTAAAATCGTTGGAATCGGTATAAAAGAGGGCAGAGAACTACTCAGCGTGTCTCAGATTGAAATCTCATACCTATAATAACCTAAAAGAGTACGAAAACTAGCAAAATCTGTTAGCTGAACCTAAAAAATATTCACCTATTTCATATTTATATTTCGTGTATCCAGGATATTCATATTCCAATGAATCCCAATATAATAGTAATAATTTTTCTAATAACTTTACTTACAATACTTTATGTGTATGTATGCATGTGCATCTGTAATTGTAAAGAGTCTGTCGTCAGAAAAAGTGTGCTCAGCACCCATTTCCATTGTACAGTAGTAATTATAAGTATTCAAGACTATTCAAAGTGTCTAGCCGACTTGTTGGCTTCTGCGCAGAAAAACTCGCCAAACGCTCATATTGAGATTTAAGCAAATTTAACTGGTTAATGTCCGGATACCGGCATTCAATACCGGCGTGAACTGGTTAAAACAAGAAATTGTGAAAACATACAACAACAAGAAGCACTTAAACACGTGTATAGCAATGCACACATATGTATGTATGAAATTATATAGAAAATAGTCTTCTCCTTCACCCCCAAGATATTCAAAATCACATATAACATCCACAAGTGTCAGTCTCTCCAAACAAGCCAGGCGGGCTGAGCTGACAGCAGAAACAAACAAGTGTAGTTCTGCGCGATCGAACCTCGATCGAATCGTATTAATTAAGCAAAAGGCGCTTGAGGAGACGTATATATGTACATACATACGTACATGCGCTCGCTCAATGCCTTTGAGAGTTATATGGGAGAGTCTCCTAGAAAGACTCAAAGACTTATTGACGACAAGATTTTAATTTATGCGGGTGCCGTTATCATTACAAAACTACGTGTTGCTACTGATATGACGAGCCAGTACCGTAATCGTAAATTAACCTTTGTGTAAATGCGAAGCGCCTGCGCATTTAAATATTTAAATACTTGTTCAGTTGTTTATTATTTCTGTCGCATTCAGAGTAATATTACAAGTCATGAATATTCTTATTGATTAATTTGCATTGCAAACAATTAATATTCACAATTTGTTAGTGCAATTAAGGCATTGCAACTCATGAGGCAATAGATTACATCTAGAATGGGGTTGCGGCAGCAAATATTATTTAATTCAATTTTATTATCTAATTGTAAGAATAAATTTTTTTTATTTATTTTTTTTCAATCTAGAAAATATTTAGAAATATTTAAGGCGAAAAATCGGTTAAAAATTAATATAAGTATTATTAATTATTGAAAAAATAAATTGAATAATTTTTTTATTATGGTTAATGAAAAAACAAAGGCATTTAAAAAATACCGAATATTTTATTAAAACTAACCAAAATTAATAAATACTATACTTGTGTATTTATATATTGATCTAGTAAGAAGTTCGTTTGGTTTTTTTATAGATTTTTTTATTCCGTCTCTATTGGCAAAAAAAACTCGGAGAGCCAATTTTCATAGGCATCTCTTGAGGCCAACTTCTCACCATTAAGCGCATTCGCCATTGACAGGAAAAGATAGTAATCAATTGGTGCCAGGTCCGGACCTCCCATTCCTGCTCCTGGAGTTTCCGGCCCTTCACCAAAGACGAGTGCGGCCTGGCGTTGTCCTCTGCGGAACACAATTCGGCCTCTGTTGATCAAAGATGGTCTCTTCTGGATGAGTGCTGCCTTCAAGTGGTCCACTTGTTGGCAGTAGAGGGCTGAATTGAGCGTTCGGCCATAGGGGAGCTGTTCGTAGCAGATGATTCCTTGCCAATCCCACTAAACACAAAGCAAAACCATCCTGGCCGTCAATCCGGTCTTGGCCACCGTGTGGGCCGCTTCCCCGAGCTTTGACCACAACCGTTTGCGCTCGATGTTGTCGTAAGTGACCCATTTTTCATGGCCAGGCCCACTACGCTTCACAAACGCGTCGATTTTGTTGCGATTCGCGGATGGAAATTCGGTCCATCATGTTTTTTTTTTTGTGTTAGTTCGTGTGGCACCCGAACATCGAACTTCTTTTTGAATCCAAGGTTATGCAAATGGTTCGAAACGGCTTTCTGGTTTATCTTAAGTTTCTCAGCAATTAATTAAGTGCTCACGCGACGGTTTGTTTCTACTATTTCCATGATTTTATTGCAATTTTCGACGACAGACCTCCCGACGTGTGGTGCATCTTTGACATCGAAATTACCGGAACGGAACCTAGCAAACCACTTTTGTGCTACACGTTCGCTTAAAGTACAGGACCCATAAACAAAATTAATTTTTTTTAACCGCTCTGGTTGCTTTTTCGCCTTGATCGAAGAAAAATTGTAAATTATAGCGAATTTTCTCTTTGCTGGTGCCCATCTTTGAAGAGCGCTCACAATGTACTGAGTCAATCAATCGAAAAACTGTCCAAGACAAACTTTTAGCGCAAATGAACACGTTTTCAGCGCGGTATAGTATGATATGATGCGACACGTAACACTAGTATTATGGAATGGATATGGATAAAAACCGAACGAACTTTTTACTTGACCTCATATTAAGGGTGTATTGTGAATAAATTTTCAAGATTTAAATGCAGTTATCACTCTAGATATTTCTGACTAAAATTTAAAATAAACTGAAAGTAGTAAATTAAGATCGAACTAAAAAAAAAAGAATATGTGAAAAAAGTGATAATAAAGTTTTTAAGAAAAACTGCCATTTAATTCTAGTTTTCAATTTAAAATTATATGTATGTATATCCATTATCCATTTCATAGTTTCAAAAGTACATCGCTGTATTTTGACATCTGTCAAACTTAACCCCTTCAAACCAAACATGTTTTGTTCTAGTTAAAAGTCAGGCATTTACAAAAATTGATCTCTTGACAACCGCACAACGCGTTCAAATTGGTGAAACCAACACACAAATGGAGATTCAAACGTGGCCACATTTCGTGCTTTCAGCGAAGATCCAATTACTCAAGCAATTGGTAAAATTTTAAATAAACTTGAAGATACCGTATCGGATGCAGATATTTTAAGGCATGTGCATCATCGCATTGCTTGTTCCGCCTCAAATAGCGCTAGACAGTAAAAGTGTAGCCGGAGAGCCACATGTTTCTAGTTCTGGTCATTCTAAAGACCTGGTTGCAAGCAATTTGTAAATTTTAGTTTAAAAAAGTGTCGATTATTTTATTAGGTTTTACAATAAATAGATTTACAGTAGCCTCATACTGAAAATATTTGTTGGTAAGGTTAAAGTTTTTAATTTAAATAAATTTTCCAAAATTCAATAATTAAAATTATTTTGTAAAAACATGAAAATAAATTGATTTTGAATTTTTTATTTTATTCAAGAAATAAATTTTATTCAACGTTAAAGTTTTTAATTTTAAATAAATTTGCTAAAATACATTAAATGAAATTATTTCATATAAATTTGAAAATAAAGTGATTTTGAGTTTTTTTATTTTATTCTAGAAATAAATTTAAAAAACGTAATTAAGGAACGAAGGAAAAATAAAATAATAAATAAAATAATAAGATAAAATATACTAAATATTATTCATAAGAGTTGCCTGCTGTTTCAAATTTTTTATGCAAAAATACAAAATAATTGAACTTTTACGATATGAGCAATCGGCAAACGATTTAAGAGAGATTATTGTCCGAAAAATTTGTTTTTGCCTATTCAGTTCAACTACGGCTTGCCAGTTCAGTTCAACTACGGCTTCTAATTTATTGGTGAAATCAAACATCGAAATCGAAAATTCAACTTACCCGTCGGATGGGTTTTTGTTAACGACCACTTATTTTGAATAAAAAATATTTCATGAAAATCCAAATTGATTTAGTATAGTTTAAAAACAATATTTAGCTCATATATTGAACCCAGATTTAGGATATTTCTGCTGCAATATAAAGAAATAAATTAACTAAGTTTTCATAGAAATTTTCAACTGAAATTAGAAATTCATTGATGAATACAAATAACCGGCTTTCAGCCGTTCGAAAGCGCCCTAGAATACGTTGTAGACCCCTTCATTTGTCGAAAAAAAGCATAAAGAGTTACATAAAAACTGATGGAGGTGATCAGCTGAAAATCACTTCATATTTACATCAACTCAAAATATTGAATTTAAACAAGATTAAGCGTGTCAGAGAAACAACAGTCATGCACTACTATTGGTTGCGTGTTTGCACTGGTTGAATATAAAACAATATATTGGGGATGTCACTTTCAGGAAAAAAAAAACTAGAATAATTTATAACTAAGTGTTTACAGTATAATTGATTATATATTACATTCAGTTTCACGGAAGTTCGTACAGTTATTATTTATGTAAGTATTGTACAAGTTCAGGGCTTAACAAGAAATGTTGGTTTCTACAGTTAAAGGGAATAACTATTGTTTCTAGGCAACTAAGTACTCGCTTGGAATCCATTTGGTATTTTTGTGGTTAAACATATTTTTTGCCGTGTTGAGATTCTATAAATTTAAAATTAATTAGAAATTGAATTTAATTTAACAAAAAAAAATTTAAAAAAAAATAATTTTAATACCATTTTATTTAGTTTTAACTGTTGGAAAATATTTTGAACCAAGGTCACGGCTAGACCGAAATCAAATGTTTAATGGTGAAGTTTGTTCAATTTGGGCAATGCCGAAGGTTTCTAAATAAATTTTCATAATTTTATCTATAAAACAACTTAAATTGAAATCCTAAGGACCTGCATTATAAGTTTTTTAAAATAATGACAATAGCAATTAAATTTTTTTGAACAGTTTTATGTCGAATAAATGTATTGTAAATTTAAAAAAAATTTTATCTTTTAAAAATTAATATTATTTTTAGCAAAAATTTCCATAGCCAGCAACTCTAACTTTTGGTTTTATGTAATGCGAATGGCATGAGTAAATGAAGTCAAAAACGTTTAAAATTTTCAAATTAACGGATAGTATTAATAATAAATTTAATATAGAAATCGATTTCCGCCTAATTTCTTTATGTGCTAAAAAGCTTTTGGCAAAAAGACGAAACGACCAAAAAGTATACAGCTTGTTATAATGGACAAAAATTAATAAAAATTGTGCCAGTGATAAAAATAATAATAAAATAAATAAATAAAATAAAATAATTTAATTATACAGTTTTTTAAAGCTGAAAACTTGAAGTTTTGGTAAGAAATCGTAAGTTTATCGTATCTTTAAATATAAAATGTACCTACATATATGCTAGAAAGTAGTATTGCTTGCATATATATTAATAAAAATAAATTTAAAAAATTATATTTACGTAGTTTGTGTAAAGCTCTTATTGACATTTGGCGGCCCTGGCTTAATGGAAAAGGCTACACCTTGTAAAATACTTTGTTGTTTGCTAATTTTTGCGTAATGTTTTTTAGTCAGAAAAATCGCCAAATCCATGGCGGCGGTGGTAAGTACCAAAAAAATATTGTATAATTTGATTTTTTTTCGGCTGTACAAGAAAATTTTTCCTATATCTATGTTATTATTAAATTACGCTTTTTTATGATATATGTAAGTATCAAGTCTCGCCCATTTAATATATGACGAAGCTGGCTCGTTGACGTCAACGGTTTTCGTAACTTTGTATTATGTGAACCTTGATTTCGAACCATTTAACAATTTGTTTTTTTTTTTTTTTTTTGTATATTTATTTTAATAATTGGCTTACATACGCAAAATGCAAAAAATATGTCAAAATTTTCACTATAATTCAGATATGCAAATAAATTGCTCAAATGATCCGCAAAAATCACAATAACGAGACGCTAATTGAGAAATAAACTTTGCTTATTAACACATTTTAGTGTGAATATTATGCCTAAGTGCTAACATCACTGTTAGTTTGGGAAACAGTATTTGACACATCTGACGCATAGTTTTCTCAAAATTAAGTCTTTAATTCAGACAACTTCGAAAACAGCCAATTAGTGGAGGCGTTTTAAATCTTTAATTATTTCCAAGGGTAAGTTTTTCATCTCTGTATGTATAAGTTCTTTATAGGATCTAGTGCTCATATGCGACACTATCAAAATTTTAATATATAATATAATATAATAAATATTTTTGAAAAATTAAAATTAATACAGATGTTTATTAAAAACATTGTTGCGCACAAATGCTTTTTCAGATGATAGATATGATTCATTAAATTTGAAAACACATTTTTTTCAACAGACAAGTACGAATGTTTTCAATTTGTTTCAGTAAATAATTGCAATTAGCTTGCATGCTAATCTATATATGTGCATCTGTATTTGAGCTCCATGGAAAAATTACTTTTTAAAATAAAAATATGGTTATTTTATTGATTTAATAATAAAAAAGTGCAACAAATATGTAAATGAAACCGAATGCAAATATAAATAAAACTAAAAATATTAAAACTTTAAGATTTAATAAAAGAAATGAAATAAAACGAAAAACCAAAAGAAAAAAATTTTATATACAAAATAAAAATATAAAATAAAATTGAGTAAAAATAAATAAAGTAAAGTTAAATAAAACGAATAAAATTTAACAATAAATAAAATAAAATTCATGAAATAAAATAAAATAAATCAAAGAAAAATATAACTTCAAACATCTCAAAACAAAATAAACTTATATTAAATAAAAAGAAAGAAAATAAAATAAATATAAGAAAGATAATAAAATAAAATAATAAAGTAAGTTGATATAAAAAAAAAATTAAAAAAATGGATTTTAATAAAAGAAGAATGCTAAATAAAATAAAATAATAAAACAAAAAATATTTTAATATAAAATAAAATCAAATCAGTGAAGAAGTAAAATAAAACTGAACAAAATAAAAATTAGAATTGAAACCGATTACNATAAAATGAAATAAAATAAAATAAAATAAATAAATTAAAATAAAATTTAATTAAATTAAATAAAGTAAACTTTAATAAAGTAATATAAGATAATATAATATAAATAAAATTAAAATAACAATAATAATAGACAAACAAAAAATTGATTTAAAATAAAACTAAATTAAATTAAACAAAATAAAACGAAAAAACTAAAACAAACTAAATAAAATTAAACAAAATAAATAGCATTAAATAAAATATAATAAATTAAAGTAAAGTAAAGCTAGTTTAAACAAAATTAAAATAAAAGGAGATAAAACAAAAAATTGTAAAATTAAATCAAATAAATATATACGACTAAATTATATTAAAAATTTAAAGAATAACTTAAAATTAATTGGAAATAAAATAAGAAGTAATGAAATGAAATGAAATGGAAATAAATGAATAATTTAAATTAAATTAAAACAAATGGAAATAAAACAAAAAACCACAAAATAAAATGAAAGAAGTATAATAGAATAATTTAAATTAAACTAATAAATAAGCAATAAAGTAATAACATGAAATGAAATAAATTAAAATAAAAGAAAATTCAATAATTTCAAATGAAATAAAATAAAATAAAATAAAATAAAATAAAATAAATAAAATAAAATAAAATAAAATAAAATAAAATAAAATAAAATAAAATAAAATAAAATACCATAAATTGAAAGGAAAAATAAAATTAAACTAATTTGAATAAAATTAATTTGATTAAGATAAAAAAGTAAAATTAAAAAGAAGTAATAAAACTTAAAAGAAATAAAACAAAATTAAATTAGTAAATTAAGATGAAATGAAATAATTTAAAATAAAAAAATTAAATGATGAAAATAAAATAATAAAAAATAAAATATAAAAAAATAGATAAAATATAATGAAAAATTAAAATAAAAACAAAAATAATAATTAAATTAAATTATACAAAGAAGAAACTAAATTTAGTTAAATAAAATAAATGAAAATAGCAAATAAAATAAGATGAAAAAAATAAAACAATTAAAATAAATAAAATAAAATAAAAATAGGCCAAATTAAAATAAATTGCTAAATAAATAAAATATATTGATATGCAAAAAGGAGAATGTTTAAGGAACAATCAAATTCAAATAGAATTATTTAAAAAAGAAATTTAGAAAAAGAAGAGTTATGTTTATGTTTTGGTTCTCATTCAACAAAACTCTTTACAAAAGGTTAAATAAATTTTTCGCTTTCATTTTTACTTATACAGTAGCTAATAAAAGCTTTTTAAAAAATAATCACAATTTTGATTAAAAACTATTTTCATAGAGAGATTTCTATTTTTACATGTTTTTATCATTAAAATATTTAATTCCATTAAAGAAAAATACATAAATATTAAAGATAAATATATAATTTTTTCTATTGCTACTACATACCTGTGTACATATTTTAATATTTGATATATATTTTAAGATTTTATTTAAAAAAAGGCATTAAAAATTTATATAAAATTAAATTTTAATTTTAACTCTTACCTTCAACAAATTTTCAAACACACAACAATTTCGACACTAAATTTTTCAAATAAGAAAAGTTCTGAATTGCAATTGTAGTATTGTGCCGCGATTATTTCTGTATTTCATTAACGTTAACCGTTGAGCAGCTCACAATAATAAATATCCTTGTAAATTTATTGTTATTAAACGTATAAATTATTCAAAAAATATTTTTAACAATATTTATAAACAATTTACTTTCGTGATTTTCACACTTTTTAGCTTCTTCATTAGCTCTTTAATCCTTGCATATCTTTGAATGTTATTTTTCCTTTTGTATTTTTTGTATATTTAGTACACTTTCACTAGATTTTTAAGCCGCAGCAGACGCTTCGATATACTGTTGAATTACATTTGAACAGCTTCCTGCATATTCACTCGCTTTTTATTTGCACCCACTGAGAGCGGGAAACTTTGAATATCGCTTAGCATCATTCGTATATCGATCAATTACAACAAATGTGATCGATAGTAAAAAAAAAGGTTGTTGTTAGAGAAGAATAGCCACGAACTGCCGCTCAGCAATTGCCACAAACCAATACAGTTGCATTCACAGCTTTACTCGCACTCAAAAGCCGAACTCAACGCTTTGTTTGTTTTTGTTAATGTCACGCGATGAGTTAGGTGTGGGATTGTATTTGTAGTGGTACGTACAATATACATACATATGCATGTATGTAGACGTAAATGTACAATTAGAAACTCGACAAGAAAGCATAATATTTCCTTGCATAATTTGTTGTTGCTTAATGAGCATGTAACATTATGCTGTGGCATGATTCAGAGCTTGAACAATTGAGATATCGTATTTGTATATATGTTTATATTAAAGTCAAAAATATATTATTTGCTTTTATTTTGGGAATGCAAATCACATTGAAAAGGACTCCACATATATATACATATATATATAACGTATACATAATATAGTATATATATTTCCTGTATTTACTACAAGGAAAATATAAACAAAAACAAATATCAATTAAGAAGAACTTACACATTTCTTATAGGAACATAGCAAATCTATCCTCATAAAAAAATGTATATCATGGAAGTATTGAAGGCGCCTGCGAAAAATGCGCAACACCAAAAGATCTTGCCACACTACATACATACATACATACATACATACATAAATATGCTCATAAATATCTATAACAATCAATTAATAAAAATATTAATTAATTTTATGGCTCCTAGAAAACACTATAAGCTTCTTATCTCATTCCTTCTTCCGATCGTTTTGCGGTATTGTTTACATCAACAGTGCCTCGTGTATGACTGTTGCGGTATTGAATTGGGTGTGTACAAAGTAATTGGCGTTTACTGCCTGGATACAGAAGCATAAACATTTCTGTGTGTGTTTGTATGAGTATCGTATATGACAATATTACAGACAAGCCTCGTAAAACTAGTCGGTGTGTTATATTAAATAGTGAGAAAATAAAATAAAATNAGCGACTTTCGGCCGAGCTCCTCTTCCAATTTGTGGTTTTGCGTCTCGATGTTTTTTTCCAACAAATGGAGGGACCTACAGTTTGTACTAAGCCACCTCCGAACGGCTGATGTTTTTTTTTAAGAGGACCTTTGATTTTCATGTCAGAAATACACTCAGAGGGGTTGACATTCCCTGCCGAGGGGCGACCGCGATTAGAAAATTTAACTTAATTTTTTATTTTAATTAATTTTCAATAACCTTTGGATGTTGGTCGCATGGGGATTTGAACCCGAGCCTTCCGAATGGCAGTACGCAATGCTAACCACTCGGCTACCGCGGCCTGATTGGTTGCACCTTTATACGGTAAGTTCGTTTGCGTTCCATAGATGAAAGAGGGATAGTCTGTTTTGTTCAGCCATTTCAAGAGGAGATACCTTCATGTGTATTCATCATTTCCAATGTGCTTAACAGCTTCCATGAGTTCGACCTGAGACATGCTGCAATGATCTAATGGCTTCAATAAGAGTTTGAAAAAGGGGTTACCTGAGAAAACAACAACACCTATTCTACCATCAAGTTTTGAACCATCTGCGTAAACTTCAATATTACCGGCCGAAGAGTAATATGTGGGTTCTCTTTCCTGTCTGCCGGGAACCAATAACATAATGATCGATCTGATATACAAAGTAGAAACAAACTTCACTTTTCACTGTTTTTTTTTTTTTGCTAAACAACAAGTCAAATGCTTTAAATTCAAAATCTACTACTTTATAAATAATATCAAGTGTTTATATATATGTGTGTGCATTGAAAAACTCAATTGCGATAAACACAACAACACGAAATGCGTTTATGATTTTCTCAAATTCATTCACATGGAGAATTCCACGCCCCGCCTTCTCCTCCAAACCCATAAATTAAAGTGCGTTTGTCAATAATTAAATTATCACAATAGTCACAATTCGCTACGACATGTGACATATGGAAAATTTTTAGATGCGGATAAAGACGCTTGACATAATATAATTATTGGGAAAAAATTATGGAAATTCAGTAATAAATAAAATTCTATTCTAATTAAAAAATAACAGAAGAAAAACAAATAGTAATTCGGGATTAAAATATTATTATTAGAAATAAATAAGAAAATTCTCAAAATTATATCACAGCGATTCGAGGTTTTTATTTTTGTTTAATAAACCTTAACATGCCATAATTCTTACGTAATAATTACATTAAAAAAATTAACAAAATGCAACTTAAAATATTCGTGATTCCTTTAACCTCCATTTTTCTACCACACCACAATAATAGAACACTTTACGATATGTAAATAATTTTTTACGATATCATTGCTAATTATATGTTAATTGAGTTTCATTACACCTAACACTTAGTTCTTGGATCAAGATACAGTGTTGTGGCGCTAGACAAATTAGCACCGCAACTTTAGCTCTTTCGAGCACGCGACTTCTAGAGCTGGAAGCTTTCAGACATCTGGTATAATTTTATTTACAAATATTTGAAGTATGATTAAATAAATCAAAATTTACTTTAATAAAAGAATATCTAAACTAAGACTTGTTCGAACAACCTTGATGATTGAAAACTGATTCTTCGATTAGCGTTTAGCGGAAAACTTGAAAATTTAATATAAAAATAAATCCATTATTTTTCCAATAGATGACGTTATTTCTATGTATCTCGCGTTGTATATATCCAATCGGGCTCTACTAAATGGCGTTAGAAAGATGACATTTCCTACTCAAAAAGCATCTCTGACAGCCACTCACGCCCAAATTAAGTTTTCTCAAAGATGCACCACGCACTGGAAGGCCAACTGTCAAAAATGTCGATAAAGTCTTGGATTTTGTCGTGTCAGACTATCAGGTAAGCGCAGTTTCGATTGCCCTAGATCTAAAAAGCGCAAAAAAAAAACATTTGGAACCATTGGAATACGGCTGGGTACGCACAGAAGCTCCATGTATTGGCTCTCGGTTAACGCGAAAAAACCTCATGGATGGAATTTCCATCAATCGCCGCCGAATCGCAACAAAATCGACTCATTTCTGAAGCGATTGATGACTGGCAATGAAAAGTGGATCACTGTTGCAACGTCAAGTGAAAGCCGTCGTGGTCGAAGCGCGGTGTGCCGCCGGAAATGGCGGTCAAGCCAGAATTGACGGTCAGGAAGGTTTTGCTGTGTGTTTGGTGGGATTTCAAGAAATGTTTCTACTACAAACTGCTCCCAAATGACAAAACTCTTATGTCGGAACTGTACTGTCAACAATTGCACCATCTGTAGAAAGCAGTCGCCCAGCAGCGGCCAGCTTTGGAATGCAGGAGAGGGATTGTATTACATTAGTACAACGCCAGGTCACACACATTGATAGTGACTCGCCAGAAGCTCCGGGAGGTTGGTTGGGAGGGTTTTATGCAGCCACCTTATAGTCGGGACCACCGATGATTACCATATGTTCCTGGAAAGAGGCATGATGAAATTACCTGTAAAATAGCAAAAAGTTATCGAACGAGACGGCGCATATTTCACCTAACTCGGATCGTTCTAACTATGGTAATTAAAGCTTGAAATTTCATGCAAAAATAGTGGTTCTTTTTACTATTTGGAGGGAGCTTCAGTGGTTCACTAAATTCTTAATGCAGCGTCTGTACGCCGATGAAGCGACTGCCAGCTAAAAATCAGCTTCAGCGCGCCGAATGAAACACCTCGATTTCGATGACGACCATGACAAAGGTCATAGCGGATATGATTGCAGCCAAGATATGCATTCGCCTCTCCGTAGCAAAAAACAGCCAGATACCGAAATGTATGAGAATAAAGAGCCTGTAAAGCTAGTCGACAGGAGTAACGCTCGAAAGTTCTAAGAAAAAATGCAGCGACTTGCAAAAGATTTCAGCGAAGCAGGCTCAAAGGGCACCAAGAGGTGATCTGGCGTGGCGACTAAGAAGGGAACATTTCTACAGCCTGCTGAGTTGTAAGTGGTGAAAGATTCGGAGGTGGTTAATCCAGACCAAAATTAATCAATCAACTTCTTCAGTTTCTTTACAGAAATTTAGTTCGCTGAGTACACGCCTGACAATTAGAACCTAAATGTGTGAAAGACTATTGTCTACCGTCAACGGACTGATTGCAACTTATAAACGTGTCCTCAGACCGGAAAAATTTAGAATTGGAAAAAGATCTAGCGAAAAAAAAGCGAGACACAGCAGCTCTTGCTTCGATAGCGCTCGGTATCAAACGAGGCTTTAGACATGGGACAGCCGCTTACTCCAGACGGGATAAGGAAGTGAAGCGCATGAGTCCTGTAGTGAACGTTTGGATCTTTTGTTATCAAACCAACAGTCAGAGCACTTGCGAATTGACTCCCATGACAATGTTGATAGTCATAACTTTGAAGTCGTAGATATTATATCATGAACAAAATCAATCTTGAAATCCAACGCAAAATCGTTCACGCTAACAGGTACTATTACAGACTAAGTTTTCTCTCTCGACAAACGAAAACCAAACTCGGTAAGTAACTGCTATATGGTGCGGAAGAAGGGTGGACGATGAGGGCATCTGATGAGTTGCAGTTTTCAGTAGTCAATGGAACGATGAGCTGTAAGAGATATACGAGGAAATTGACATACTTCAGAGAATCAAAATATGGCGTCTACGCCCGTCAGATCACGTCCTCCGAATTGGCAAAAACACATCAACTTTGAAGACAATGAAAAAAGAGAAAAGGGAGAACCTCAACTCCATTAAAAAGATTAGGGCGAAAAGCACTTAGCTTCACCGAAAGACGCAGAGAGAGAACCCATACGTCCACACCAATGAAGAAGGAGAGTGAAATAGAAATGTATTAAGGACTGCTACAAAAGGTTATAATTAATTTTTCTAGTAGCAAACCGGAAGGGCAATCAA